TTTTAGATAGCAGCATATATACCTCCATAGGTAGTAGTAATTTAGGAAGCAAGCGGCGTCCAATTCCTCGCGCCCAGCTTCACATCAATCAATTAATCAACCCTCAACCCGTACCTCAACCCGCTTCAGCAACCCCTAGGAGTTGGGAACCAATCACGGAAGCCGAAATCCACTAGAGCCTAACCTCCTCTAGTACCAGTACTGCACCTGGGGAAGACGGCCTCCCAATACTCGTCTGGCGAAAGCTCTGGCTATATACTACTAAGCATGTTCACCACATCTTCTCTACTTCCATTAACCTTAGCTATCATCCGAAAGCCTGGCGAATAGTAGTAATCGTCGTTCTTCGGAAGATAGGTAAACCTAACTACACGATCCCTAAAGCGTACCGCCCAATCTCCCTACTTAATACGCTTGGAAAACTGCTGGAATCAGTAATAGTGAAAAGACTCTCCTTCTATGCTAAGAAGTATAATCTCCTCCCGGCAACCCAATTTGGTGCAAGGCCAGGCAGGTCGACAGAGCAAGCCCTACTAGTCCTAGTAGACGCAATATGGAAAGCCTGGAAGGAACATAAAGTAGTCACGCTAATAGCATTCGACCTAAAAGGTGCCTTCAATACAGTCAATAAAGGGACACTAGATTCTTGCCTAGTCAAGAAAAGGATTCCAACCGAAGCAAGAAACTAGATTAGTAGTTTTATAGAGAATAGGGCAGCCTCAATATCGTTCGACGGATATACTAAACCAGCTGCAGCTCTAGACTACCCTAGCCTTCCTTAAGGGTCCCCTCTCTCCCCAATCCTTTTCGCCTTCTACAATGCCGACCTAGCAGACCAGCCGGTAGACTTTACTAGAGGAGCATCTGCTTATATTGATGACTACTACCGGTGGCGGGTAAGCCGGTCCATTAACAAGAACCTCGCAACGCTGCAGAGAGAAGATATCCCAAGGATGCAACGATGGGCAGAACAAACCGGATCAAGCTTTAAAGCTGATAAGACAGAACTTATTCACTTTACAAGAAGCTCAGACCTAACCCATCTAGGAGCAATAGTCATGGGAAACCATGTAATCGAACCAAAACGAGAAGTAAAGCTCCTAGGAGTCATCTTCGATCAGCAGCTCCGGTGGAGAGCCCACGTCCAAAGAGCAGTTACACGAGCAACCAAGACCTGCCTAGCTATTAGCACACTAAGACATCTTCGACCAAAACAAATGCGCCAGCTCTACCAAGCATGCGTAGTTCCCCAACTAGACTACGCCTCAACGGTCTGGCACTCCCCAAAGAGATGTGAATGGCAAATAGCAGTACTCTCCAAAGTTCAGCGGATGGCAACAACCAAGGCTATCTCTGCATTCCGAACTGTAACACAACTGCCAGCTCCGCAACCTACAACCACTGAAAGCCAACAGGAGTGGGAGGAGAAGATAAACAACTTCATTTTCGTCACTAAATCAACAGGTGATGAGCTAGAGCGCTTTATCTCAGAACCACCTGTTCAGCTGGCGAAGGGAGAGCTCCTGAACCTTATTTCGTGGTGGATATAACACCAACAGCAATATCCTCAACTTGCGAAAATGGCACTTGATCTACTGACTTGCCCTGCCATGTCATCCGACTGTGAGAGGACGTTCTCAACCACCGGATGGGCCATGGGGATACGCCGTTCAAGACTCAATGGGGACACAGCTGAAGCCATGGAGTGCCTCCGAAGCTGGGCAAAACCAGGGTGGGTTGATGCGGAAGCGTGGTTGAGAGACAGAGAGAGCAGTTGAACCCCTCAACACCATGCCAAGGCGTCCCCATGGCCGCGGAGGACGCCGGTGAGCAGCAAACAACACGAATTTGCGAGAAAACGATCAGTGAGCACCCCTGAAGTCACACTCAGCTCATATAATGGAACTAACTGGCCTGATTTAGGTGGGAAAACGACTGTTCACTTCTACCCACGGAGCAGCGGAGGACGCGAGCAACGAGCGCTACAACAAGCGCTACAACGCGCTGAATGACCCGCGGGCACGCGCGCGAGCAAGCGCTGAACGAGTGAACGAGCGCTGAACGAGCGCTGAACGAGCGCCAGTTGCTGCATATTTTGAGCAGTCTTCGCAGTCTTCGCAAGCTCCCCACTGAGCCGCAGAGGCCTGTTTTCTCATACACATTAGACGTTATTAGGCTGTGCTGGGAGCAGGGGTGGACGCGGAGGAGCTTCATGGACGAGGACAGGCGAACAGGGCGCTACACACCGCGCGGGTGGGGGTCACGTGACCCCGGAGTACATAGATATTTGCTAAATATGGCTATATTCGCTCAACACCATGCCAAGACCTCGTGATACAGTCCTATTCAACCAGACGAGAGTCCATTCACACCCTTACTGGACGGTCTGGATCGTGCCTAATTAGGCGAAGTCCATAATAGTCCGGTGGGGCGTCTGGTTGAACTAGACTGTTCCGCACTCTGTCCATACGTGCTAAGGATCCGAGAATAGTAGCTGTGATACTTCTAATTACTGAAATGTATCCGATTAGGAGCAGCTTTAACGTAGGCGTTGAAAGTAACCCTAGAAGCTTTACTGAACGTAGTGACTGCACGATTAGGGTTGAATGGACGCGGGGGAAGAGCCTCAACAATATTAACTGCAGGAGCACGTTCAGCAGCAGGGCGCGCGGGACTGGCGGAGGATGAAGAAGACATGATTTGATTGAAGTAGAATGGTGCTTGGTTAAACGAAGAAGACGTTGAAGCTCACTGACCTGTTGAAGCATTCTGAATCCCATTTTATGGGCGAAAAGCAGGCCCCTACGATGCACGAACGCGTGTTTATTCTTTTGCTTTTTTCGCAGTTGAACCAGGCTATAAACAGGCGGGCCTACACGCCGCTGCAGGCGCGGGTCGGTGTTGATGCCTTTATAAAATGGCGACAAGGGTCGCTTCAGGGGGACGAGTCAGTCTTGATCACCCTACTGCGGCCACAACACCGAAATAGACGACTAAATCAGGCGAACAAGCACACGTCATTTATGCGTGTTTATTCGGTGCGAATAGTCTTCTAATTGGCGGTTTTAGACGGCTATTTTCGTGCAACGCCTATTCGGTGCAACATAAATAAACGTCAGCAAACAATAATGGTGGACATTAGGAAGCGACTTCACGCTGTTCAGGCGCCCACGTCATTGCCATCCTACAGCCACTAATTGGCGTTTTTGCGCACGGTAAGCTCATTATAGAATAGCGTAACCTAGGTTACTGGCTTGCTGCACCTTCGCGAGGGTCACACGTTGCTACCTTAGGGCTGCGGCTAAGCGTGTTTCATGTGTTGCTGCCTAAGTGGCGCAATAGTTACTTGGAAGCGGGGTTAGTACGCCAGTACACAGCAGTGCATTGTGGTACGGCTCGATAGTAGAGTTTTTAAGGCTTTTCGTCGAATACTCTCAACTTCCTCTCTAGCTTCTCCAGTGTCTTTCTTCATGGCTTCGCGAAGAGTTAATTCTGCTCCATTTAAAAAGGACACACAGCTTTGCCGCGATCTTGATAACTGCGAGGACACGTCATCGGGAAGAGCAATTAAGCCGGCAAACGCCACCATACCCGGTTGGCCTTGTACGCTCCTCAATGATTTCAGCAATGTCGAACGGTTCCTCTGTCGGGAGTTTGTTGCACCCGACCTCGAAGAAATCGCGCCACATCTATGGATATTATCGACACAGTCGAGCACAAACATAAACTCGCTACACCGACAAAAGATCAAAGGCAGAGAAATAATCGTTACGGAAGATCCTCGCTTGCATCTAGTCTGGATTCACGACCGAATCTTCATTAAGCCTCTCCCAAAATACATTCTATCGCACACGTTTTGGAACATGTTTCTTTCGGAACGATCTGCTCGCCTATCAGAGAACTGCGAAACAATCCTTAAGGCTGCTAAAGGATACCTACGGACCTACCGATACCTAATCTGGCACGAATCCGATTTCCTTATCGCTAAGCAGGACCATTTACGACTCGTGCCACCCGATACGGAGTGGGTGGACTATTGCCGGTTTATCGCCGAGATTGAGCATATTGACGACAGAGACGTGTCCAGGCGCTACCAATATGGCGAGCTACGGCTTTCTCGGCTTAACCTTTATGCCCCCTTTTTACTGCATAAGTTCCACTATGAGCAAATCCATGGACAGTATGCAGACTATTTTTCTGGGCTGTACGGGCCGGTTCTATTTTTTTTTGCTATTGTTACAACTATACTCAACGGGATGCAAGTCGAATTAGCTGTTGAGGGATTGCTGCCGGCACATTGGGATCGTTTATGGTCTTTTTATCGTTGGTTTAGCACTATGGCTTTGGTTGGGACAGCCTTTGTAGGTTTGGCCTTTGTGCTACTCTGGCTGTGGATGGTTGTTGACGAATGGCTGTATGCGATAAGGCATCGGTGGAAAAAGCACTATAAAAGCCACAACGCCTTGGATTGTTAAAGTGGTCACACTTGGGATTTACACAGCCAGTAATATATCTCCACGTTGCTTTCTTAGGTACACTAACGAAATTGACTACAATTATAATTCAGCTCCCAATACTTGGCAATAGACTGCGGCTTATGGCTGACCATGCGTTTACTTAGCGCTTACTAGAGTCTTCAGCCTTGTCATAGTATTAGTCTATAATACTCACCTCCTGCCTAACACCAGTGTACTTTTACCCATAGCCAGACTTCGATACCTACGAACAAGTTGGGTCAGAGCTTAGCCTAAAAAATGGTAACACATCAACCTATTTATTAGTAAACAAAGCTCATGAAGGTTTAGGTTCGAGCTGTGACCGATGATGACACCGGATTCAAGGTTCTTTACGAGCCTCCTGCCAGGGAATCAGGTAGAGATGAAGCCAACTATATTGAGTAAGGATTTTACCCTCGGTGCTTTAGCCAAAACTAAGGGGCGATAGCATCGTTGCTATACACGGTATCGGGGCCCACCCTGACGACACATGGACGAAGAAAGTGGAATCGGCCGACGGACAGCGGTATATCAACTGGCTCAGCAACCCCGAGATGCTACCAGCTGTCGCTCCTAATGCAAGAGTTATGCGCTATGGATACGAAAGCCAGTGGTTCGGACCGGATGCGATACGTCAAAACACTACTAGAGTAGCAAATCGGTTCTTGCTCGCGCTGAAACGCCAGAGGCAGGTATGTACTGTATGTCCTCCTACTCTAACTTCTAACGCTAATCTTTTATACTAAGGACGCTCCCTTTCGGCCGCTTGTAATCGTCGCTCACTGCTTCGGTGGACTGGTTGTGCTAAAAGTACGTGACGGAAACGATGTAAACAAACTAGCTAACCATATCAGGCGCTACTTGAAGCACGACATGACCAAAAGAGATGGCCTGGGATCTTCCAATCGACGACAGGCCTTGCCTTCTTTGGAACACCCTTTAGGGGGGCAGAAGGCATGAGCCAGAGCGAGATGATCCAAGCGGCCTTACTCGAGTATAGTAATGACCAAGTCCAAGGCGAGGTACTCAAAGTTCTTGACCCTGGCAACGAGCTCCTACAAGACCTCGTAGATAGTTTTGGAAAGACACGCTCGGAGGCAAATAAGGCTCAAGTCGCATGCTTCTTTGAGCTAAAGTCTAGCAATATCGGTGCTATCATCGGGGGGCAGGCAAAGAAGGTATGTCTACTACTAGTATAAGGACTGGCCGGCCCATCCTAACTGCATTACTAGAGCTACGTTGTTAGTGAGAGCTCTGGATGCCTCGACCTTTCTGAGGCAACCGAGAAGTACTCTCTTTCGCGAACACACTTCAACATGAACAAGTTCGGCCGACCTACCGAGGAAGACTTTCAGACAGTATCTGAAGTTATCAAGAGGATGGCGGAGGTTGCTCCAGCTATAGTCCTAGCAAGGTCCCAATGTAGTTAGCCCCTTTCATAGTGAACCCTCTCTACAACGATGCGCATTTTCCAATGCGCTAACATTTACTTTACAGATCAGGATCGCCACAAAGTGCCATTCACCCTAAAGGGTGTTCCCGTCGTGAACCACTTTATTGGACGTAGCGATGAAATGCGCCAACTTGAGCAACATCTCCTTCCCGAACCGCTGAAGCCAATGCGTCGTAAGGTTTTTGTCTTATATGGACTCGGCGGGATAGGTAAAACTCAGCTATCAGTTGAGTTTGCCCGCAAACACCATGACCGTTATAGTGCAGCGCTCTGGCTCGACGGAAGTTCAAATGACCAACTAAAAGGGTCCTTTGTAAGAGTTGCAAGAAGGTTACCAGCAGATGAACTGACGCCAAATGTTAGTGTAAGCCTGCAAACTTCTAACGTTGATGCCGACGTTGTGGTAGAAGACGTTCGTCGATGGCTATCACTACCGTCAAATAGGAACTGGCTTCTAATTATCGATAACGTTGACCGAGACCTTGGATCTAGGGATCCGCAAGCGTATGATATCCAAAAGTATCTACCTGAAGCAGATCATGGATCCACCATAATTACGACTCGCCTGGCCGGCCTACAACGATACGGATTAGGACTTAAAGTCAACAAGGTCGATCCCGAAGAAGCAAGAGCTATCTTAGAGGAGAATGCTAAGAAGTCCGTCGAAGGTAATTAAATCACTAAGTCAGTTTTATATAATAGAGCTAACTTTTATGGTTGCAAACATAAGATGCCAAGCTGATTGTCCAACGACTAGACGGATTACCTCTTGCTCTCGCACAGGCTGGTTCGTTCCTGCAGCAGACTAACATGGCTGTACGCACCTATGTCGAGCACTATGATATTACCTGGAAGGAACTCTCAGAGCAGGAAAGTCAGTTCCCACTACAAGAGTATACCGATCGTAACATCTTAACGACATGGACCCTATCGTACGAGCAAGTCAAAAAGCAGAGCGAAGAAGCGGCAGGCCTATTACGACTATGGGGGTTCCTTGACCACCAAGATCTATGGTATGAGCTGATTGCATTCGAAAAAAACCTAGTGGATGATATCATTGTGCCTGAATGGCTCTTTAAACTTTCAGCTACCGCACTAAAGTTTTCGGGCACTGTGGGCCTTTTATCACGCTACTCACTTGTAGACCATGGACAGCAAACATCAAGCCACTCCATGCATGCCGTCTTGCATGAATGGTGCTATCATCTATCGACAGAGAGCGAAAGGTCAATGTTATTGTGTGTAACTCTAAGCCTCATAGCAAAGAGGGTGCCGTTGGATAAAGAGGCCGAGTACTGGAAGCTACAGAGACGCCTCTTACCCCACGGTATCCGAGCATGCCAACTTGCAGGCTTCGGTCTAGGAGAGCAACACTATATAGATATGGGGTTAGAGGTTCCACCATGGGCCTTTCATAGTTTAGGTGTTCTCTACGCAGACCAGGGCAAGCTAGACCAGGCCGAGGAGATGTACGAGCGGGCTCTTAAGGGGAGAGAGAAAACGCTCGGTCCA